AAGGCAGACGCTTAATGACTGAGCCACCCAGGTGCCCCAACTTCTTACATTTTCAAGTAGTGCTTCCCCCAGTTAACAAGGACTTATATTCACAACTCTAGTTGAATGTGTCAGCGGCATTTGGTATAAACAGAAAGACTCAACCTACCAAGTTTCAAATCCAGAACTTTTGACCTGGTTTATAAGCTTCAAGGGCAAATTATGTGAGCTTAATACATATCAATGAAAAGGGAGTCTGTGTTTAAGTTATAACATTAATTTATGATTAATTATTAGATTATTTTCATTATAAGGAATTACCACTAGATTATAAATGACTTAGTTCCTTACAAATGACAAAGGGTGGAGACTAAAATTGAGCCAAAGTGCACTGATATTGCTTTGTAAATGGTTCTGGCAAAAAATGTTCAAAAGATTTAATCCCCCAAATACAAAAACCATGTAGAATTAAGGTCTCTCGCAAGAATAAAGCCCAATCTGGTCAAGAAAGATGGCATGTAGAGTATGAGCTCAACTTTAAAACTCTGATATAAGATTAAGAAAGCTGCCTATCAGGGGTGCCTGGGCGGCTCAGTTGGTTAAGCGTCTGCTTTCGGCTCAGGTCATAATCTCAGGGTCCCTGGATATCAGGCCCTCCACTCAGTGGCAGATCTGCTTCTCCCTCTCCCTCTATGATCTCTCTCTCTCAAATAAATAAAAATCTTAAAAAAAAAAAAAAGCTGCCTATCAGAAATTAGTTAGCATACAACCAGAAGTAACAAATACAAGTACCTAGAGCCAGAATGATATCAAAGATGAGTGCAGAAGACCAGATATAAAATAACAGTGGTGGCAGTATGCTGAACTGGAAAGCAAAGACCCTTAGAGAGGACAAACCACCATGACTTGGCTCTACCACAGAATATAGACCTAGTGTTCTAGACCTCAATTTTTCAAGAAAAAAACAGACATTAAAAATGTTAGCTCTCAATTTAAATTAAAAGCACATTTATGTGTGTACTTTCATGTATTTATTTTGAATTACACTGGCCTAATAATACATTTGTAGCCAATTTGCAACCCTACATTAGACAACTTTAAATAGTTCTCAGTGGGAAAAAAAGAACTCAAGTACATTGGTCAGGGTTAAAAAGAAACTACCTGACAAGAAGTGTACTAAAACATGAAACATCTCTGGGCTGAAGGGCATTATTAAAATCTAGAATTAAACCATGACTCTCTTAGATTCCTAGATAATTTTCTAGGACGATTTCTAGGAAGTATACAATCATTAAAGAGTAAACAGTTTTTTAAACTAGGCTTAGAATAGTCTTTGAAAGTTATTGATTACATTATTAAAACTTAATAAAATGTTTGTAAAGTTAACAGTTGTAAGTAAAGCTCTGTCCACTCCTAAGGAGAAATGCGTACATATGTTCACCAAGAAACGTAAAACAAATTCACAATAGCACTCTTTAGGCCAAAACTAGGAACAACCCAATTTCTACCTAATGTGGAATATACAATATTGTGATATTCATAGAATACTATGCAATGGGAATGAATGAAGTACAACTTTATGTAAAAACATGGATGGATCTCACAAACATCATGTTGAGTGAAAGAAGCCATATACACTATGTAAAATTCAAAAGCAGGCCAAATTAATGTATGTTATGAGACAGAACAACGATTATGCTTGCAGTGGGAAAAAGGGACACTAGGAAGTTTCTGGTAATATTTTATTTCCTGAGCTGGGTGCCAATAATATACTGAGTTCACTGTGTGAAAATTTATTAAGGTATAGATTTGTGATTTGTGCAGTTTT